CCCAAAAAATCCAGAGAAAAAAAAAGTCTCTAGGGTTTAATAAAATGTTATCAAATCAAACAATCCCAAAATCAGTCCACAAACCGGACTGTTATAGCCAAAAATCGTCTTTATTCGAATTTTGCCAAAAATAGCAAAATCCGAAAAATCACTCTAAATTGAAATTCGAAATAAAATAAGCAATCTCCAAAAAATCCGGCCTAAATCGGATTTAAATTGACTTCCTAATTGACAATCGAAATATTACCATAAATAGTAAAAAATATCTAATTCTAGTGATTCGGAGGGGAAAACGGCAGAATTTGAGGTTGAAAAAAAGGCCACATGGAGCTTAGCTAAATGTAGAGAGCGTGCGCGTCGAAAAGAGCTTTCCGGATTGAGGTCTTGAGGTTGAAAAAAAGGCCACATGGAGCTTAGCTAAATGTAGAGAGCGTGCGCGTCGAAAAGAGCTTTCCGGATTGAGGTCTTATACGCGATTCTGAGCCAAAGTTATGGCCAAAAGACTGAAATATACTCAAAACGACCCCAATAAGGAACATATCACAATCAATTCCCGCCTTTGCGCTGATCTGCCAATTCATGGTATCTCAGCGCCATCAAGGTGCAGTCTGACAGCTCAACATCATCTGTCTCGGATCCCCTGCATCAACTTCACACCTATCTTGCCGCATTACCTGGCAACTTCCGTAGTTTCTTCCTCGAAAGCTGAACCAGAAACTAACTGTTCTACCGAGTTGCGAACATTAAAATGCGGTAGCATTCAGAAAATCTGTTTATTTCATTTTATGGCCACCGTGCACAAAAATGGGCATCCCTTCAACTCATATTGGGAATGATAATCCAAAAATGAAAGGGTCAACGAAAAATACGTACCTAGGAGGATCTTGGTCATGTTTCTCAAATGCAGGAAAGTTTCTGTAAAATTGAATCAAAATCAAGCTTTCACTTGAGCCGACTTCCGGTGCAGGAGATCCATGTATCATCACATTCGCACCACGTCTATAACATATACCTTCAAGCAATGTTATACAGATGTCAGAAATTGCTTCACATAGCAAAAGCTTCGGATTATGAACCTCAAATATTCCTAGAAAGCATGGCCGGTACATAAATAAATGACTAGATCACTTCTAACATTCCATGCGAAGGCCGGTACATAAATAAATGACTAGATCACTTCTAACATTCCATGCGAAGGAACAGAAATATACGAGTTGAGTTCAAGCATGCCCTCTTAGGTACTATCGTGAACCAATCATGACAAGAGCTAGAAGAGATATTTTGTAACTACACTTCGTCTATGACTCGAATTTTCAAGCTTAATGATAGTGGCTTAAAGAACGGGTGACAGTCAGTTGACAAAAAATGATGGCATCGAGGACACAGAGAATTCCCCAAAAAATCAAAAGCAGTTTATGATCTATAAGTTCCTTATAAGTAGATAGAGATCTCTCAAAATTAAGCAAGACAATAAATATCAAGACAACCTCGAGTGATGTCAACTTGCTTACCTATTCTTCTTTGCACAATAAATATCAAAAGCGGTTTATGATCTATAAGTTCCTTATAAGTAGATAGAGAGCTCTCCAAATTTGAAAGGGAATTTTTTTTCTACAGAATACATCACATGGCACTCCAAACATAATCCATTTACAACATATTCTGAGAAAAATATGGCTTTACACAAAATTTACAAGATTGTTGATGTAGCTATTCTCTTCTCCATTTTTCTTTTTCCTTTCATATTGAAGCCTTGTTGCGCATATGAAGAATGTCAAATTTCATTAAGTTAAAACTTTCTTTTATAGATGATTAAGTTACAATAGTTTTTCGAGGAGTTGGAATTATTCCGTCATATAAACAGTTGCATGACAAGGCACAATCACTGCAACAACCAAGAACTATGATGGCATTAGAAAGACATGGTTAGAACAGAGAAAGCAAAAAAGCTCTATTCAAGTACACTAGTGTTTCTAAAAGAGTTGCCATGCAAGAATCTGACAAAGGCAAAAGATAACTGTGATGACCATAGCAAAAAGGCTACTGTTCGATGATGATGCAGCCTTCATCTTCTTCATTGCTTTAATTCGTTTCATCCTCGCACGTTTTCTCATGGTGAGTTCGACAATCTCCCTCACTAACTCCTGGTCTGCAGCATCCAACAATGGACCTTTAGGAGGCAGTGGTGGCTTGGGAGGCTTCCTAGAATTTGTCTTCTTACACTTATCCTCAGCAAAATTTATTTCCACCAGTGCCATTGGTTCACGATTCTCTTCTCCTTCTGAACTCTTATCCACCAAGAATTCCATATTTCTTTACTAAAAACTCGAGAAACTACAGCAAGAGTTTATGCCACATTTACCCTTACCTACTCTATCAAAATTCAAAAGACCACTCCAAACTTTATTTAAAGTTCTCTTTGTTTGCAAATTTGATGAACAGTAACCTTTGGTTCTTTCATCTTCACTGGCATGTTCCACCACCTTCAATGTCTACTTCAATATCACTTTCTTTTAAATATGAGCAACCCATTCGGGAATAAAAACCATTAATTCCTCTCAAACCTTTAACTATGAATTGATATTTCACTTCAAGTAAAAACAATTCTATCCTCCACAGAGCCCGAGTCCAGACAAAGTTTGAATTTTTTTCACAAAGCACAACCTCAACTTCGAACAAGCAATCAACCCTGAGTTTGTTAATGAAAAATCACATGTTAAACGTAGGAATGTAGGAAAAATAAACTGTAAATAGAAATGCTAGGACAGAAAGAATAACGAAGCAAGAGTTGAATGGCAAAAAATTCATCTCCCGAAACCCACTGAAACAGACCATAAGAGAAATTACTTGAATTCGAAAAAATTCTCTAACTCCCCAGAAACATATAAAGCTTGAATTTTGATTTTGTTAATCTTTTAATTGGCAACCAGAAGCCGCATAACTATCAACTCCCTATAATTTATAATGCAGCTCCATAAATCGTAAATAAAATAATAATAAAGACTAAAGAGGCAGAACAACGGAGACCGGAATAAACCCCAGAAATTTTATATTTTATATATTCAAAGAGAAAAATAGCATACAGCATTAGAGAAGAAAACCCATAAAACAGGGGAAAACTACACCCTTGAAAAAGAGGGGAAAACACTTGAAGCTAACATAGAGACGTAACTATGTGGGAAAGCTAAAACGAGCCTAATTTGATGACTAGCATGAACCATAAACTGAGAAACCATTGAAGATTTCGTCTACCTTTAATCTAACCGGAGCTGGAGACTATCTCAGACAGAGCATGTTAAGTATTTATTCCTTAAAAAAACACATGGTCTTTTTATGATTTTTTATGGGTTGAAAATTAAGATTTTAAAAGGGAACGAAAGGTTTTAAAAATTTTAAAAAATGTAGCAAGCATTGAAACTAAAAACTAGAATCAAATAGCGGACTGCATGTCGAAACTCAACCGATCAGGGGAAGCTTGTTGCGTCAGACTACTTCAACCTCTAACGGAACTAGATGCAGCAGTGCTGGAGGAGGCAGCTGCTAATTAGTGTTGCTAAGTTTTTGTTTTTTTTTTTCCTTGCTAGGTATTAGAGATCAGACAAGTACATTACTTGGAAGTGTCAGCTTCTCCGAGGATGGTTACGGTATGCTGTCGGTTGATTGTAATGAATGTACAAGTCATTTTACGCAGGATATTCAAGTAGGAAAAAATAAGATTAATTTTATCAATTGGCCCCCAGCTATAAGAAAATTTATTTTTTAACTCAGCTATATCTAATAGTATTATTTTCATTTTTTAATTATGAGTTGGCAATGAGGCAAGTTTAGGGATGGATATTTAACATACATTCGTTGAATTTTCATTTGATCAAATTTGATTAAATGAATTTTATTTTTGAAAATTTTAATTTTAATTAATTGTGTTTTCGTAAGGACTGAGTAGTTTGAATTTAGGGTGAAAAAATGTGATCCAACCTGACATAATATTATAAATATTATATATATATATATATATATATAAATAATTAAATAATACTTATTTTTATTTTGTTTTAATTACGTAGTTAATTTATCTAATAAAAATGAATATATATATATATATATATATATATATATTCATTTGCATCCTACAAGCAAATGAATTATGAGATTGTTAAATAATCTCAAAAGTGGAGAACCAAAGCAGATCTTTACGGACTATGAATTTAACTTTATAAAAGAGGTTAGATAGTTCAATGTTACAGCTGATTGAACATCCCACATGCCCTTCTCTAACACCATAGTAAGCCTTTACGCACTACCTAATTTCCATGATCACTATCAAACGCTCTAGTCCTGGGCTGGCTGCAGGCAGTAAGCCCTTCCCTTGGAATGGATTATGTATTGTTGACTAATATCAGGAGGCACTTCATTTTCCAATTTCCCTTGTGCACCGTTTCTTTCCCAATAATCAACCTGCCTCTGTTTTGCAGTGCCAAGTATTCACATGGCCTCTATTTACACCCACAAATAAACTGTGGATTGCGACCCATGATGTAATTACAATAAAAGAATCATGGCTCCATATAGTATATACATAGTGCATGCGTGATTAGGCAAATGTCTTCAATCTCCCTCTAATAATTCAATACACTGAATCCCGCATCTTACCATTCAGTGAACCAAATCTCTGAGATGTAGACCCAAGGGCAAGAAAAGTTATTATCATGCAACTCCATCATTCTCTTTCCTACTAAACTCTTATCAATTTTTTGCAGGGAAATCCGCATTAATGGTTCTCTGATGAACACCTAGCCCTCAAGCAATAGTTACTTTCATATGGGAATCAATGCATATTCGTTTTGTAATACCAAAAACAAAAGGTATAGTACAGAGAATTAAAGAATAAATAACCAAATTTCCCCTGGATGAATATAACCTCTACATATCCAGAACCACCAAATGAGGAGAAAAAAAACCAAGTCCAAGTTATATATGGTAATATTTGTCGGGGTCTGTTTAAATGGGAAGTGGCGCCTGTTAACAAGAAAAATACATATATATATATCAATGTACTGATCTTTTCTAAGCTACTCTTCTTTTAGCATATAGGATGGTAGAATGTCCTGGAGAAGGCCACGGTCTTCAAGCAAAGACGGTCCTGCTCCCGGGGTGCAAATACGCTTCTCATGAAGAAAACTGTTGTTAATAGAACCCATGTTATGGCCAAAGTTCGAAGGACGCAAGCTATCGGTAAATGGCTGTTGACGGAGGTGCTGTTGATAGTTAGGTGGAGTCCTTTGCATTGGCATGGCGGACGTGGCTGTACTCAGATGAGAATTTCCGAGATTTGGAGGAGGCATGATTGGGCTGGGGTGAATGTGTTGGCCTTCGTAAGTGGTAATCACAATGCTTGGATCACTGAAAGATCTCTCCACTCTTTTCTTCACATGACATGAGGCGGTGGTGCAACGATAATAACTCCTAGGAGAATTAAACAGTGTAAACTTCACCTAAGTTGGTGAAAAGAAGTAAAATAGGTTAAAGTTTGAAGATTGAGGTCTAGTACCTAGGAAAGGGACTGTTTTTTACGGCTTTCTGGCCGTACTTTCTCCATCTGTACCCATCTTCCAAATGATCAACCTCGCTCTTTGTCATGAACGCGAATCTCGGCTCTCTCTGTCTCTTCTGGTTTGTCTTCTTGGGTTTCAACCTAAACGCCAAAAACAAATCCAAAAAATCTTCATCAGCTTCAAGTCGCTTTGATGGAAAACAAAACCCTCATTTCTTTTCCAAATTAGTTTTAAATTTTGGACTTTGTTTAACTGTAAAGTGTAAGCATAACTACATACTCAAGCATACACATAAAAGGATCCATGTTTGCCTCTTTAGTGGAAGAATGATAAATAGTAAGAGAAAGGTTATATAAAGAGAGAGTTTGAACTCACCGTTTCTTGATTTTTTGCTGGTTTTCTTCTTGGTCATCTACTTTAACAGGTTCATTAAAAGCCTCACTTGACGCAGATGAAATCGAGGAAGAATTAGGAGTGGCAGGCTGATTAATAACCTCAAAAGAGTCCATCTTCTTTGAAGGTGGTGGAGTGAGAGGTACTTGGCTTGAAATTAGAGAGGGAACCTGTTGTGCAGCTGTCATGATCTCCAAGAAAGGAGGACTAATCAAGTCTTGAACACCCAGCAAGTCCATAAACCCTAAAGAGACGATTTTCTCGTCTTCACTGCTACTCAAATCGAATATACTTTGTAATGAGTTACCCAGTACATCATCCATCTTTATTCCCTCTTTTCTCTCCATGTATCAATAAAAAAACTCCAGTTTTTGTTCATCAAAGCCACTTACACCCACTAGAGAAAGAAAGAAAGCTATTGTTTAGTGAGAGAAAGGAAGAAAGCTATTGTTTAGTGAGAGAAAGGAAGAAAGCTATTGTTTAGTGAGAGAAAGGAAGAAAGCTATTGTTTAGTGAGAGAAAGAAAGAAATCCAAGAGAGTTTTAGAAGAAGGTGAGATTTCTGGCCACGGAGAAATGGAAAAAAGAGAGAATAATAAATAGAGGATCGACGGGCAACTGTAGGTCAAATACTTGTACGGGAATTAAACAGTGCCGGTTTCATTCAGCATTAGGCATGACCAACCCATGGTCGGACGGTGTGGTGGAGTGGTGGAGGCTTTCATACGTAGATCTTTAACCGGCTTTAACTGGTACGCAGTGTGAACGGAATTCCCTTCCATTTGATATCCATACGGCATAAACCATAATAATACGGGTAATTCTGTTTTACTACGCCTAAAAAATGGTTAAAAAATGACGTGATCGGTTAAAATTTAGATCAGTTATATTATATCATTTAACCATAAATATTATCAAGCACAATAATATATTAGATAGCGTTTATATAATATATTAGGTAGCGTTTATATAATGTAATAGGTAGCGCTTATATAATAAAATAGACATTTAACCAGTATATTTATACCGGTAACATTGCAAATTTACCTATTGCATTATAATTATTGGTTTCGTTATTTTTTGGATCGATACAATTTTAAATGTATCGACACTTTATGCTTGCACCTCGTTGAGCATTCCTAATTCATTCTGCAAAAAAGTATCGACACAAACTATAAAGGTGTCGATACATTATTTAGACCTATTTTATCATAAAACCGGTATATTTATACCGGGTACATTGTAAATTTACCTATAACATTGTAATTTTCGTTTCGATGTTTTTGGGATCGATACAATTTTAAATGTATCGACACGTTATTCTTGCACCTCGTTGGGCATTAATTATGGATAAAATGTATCGACACAAATTACACAAGTGTCGATACTTTATTCTGACCTATTTTCTCATAAAACCGGTAAATTTAAACCGGTTACATTGTAAATTGACCTATTACATTATAATTATCGGTTTTGATGTTTTTGTTATCGATACAATTTTAAATGTATCGACACTTTATGTGTGAACCTGTTTGTGCTTTTTTTGGAAAAAAGTATCGACACAAACTTAAAAAGAGTTAATACTTTATGTTGACATGTTTTATAATTAACTAGTATATGTATACTAGTTATATTGTTAATTTAAATATTACATTATAATTATTTGTTTCGATGTTTTTGGGGTCGATACTTTTTGAAAATGTATAGACACATATTCTTATATATGTATCGAAACAAATCTTTGTGTTTACTAATTTTGTCATTAAAAAAGTATATTTTTACCACCTACATTGTAAATTTACCTATTACTTTAAAGTTATTGAATGTTGTAGTTATTGTACATACCTGAATATGTCCTGCAAATTTAATGTTGTACCCACCCTCCAACTACCACTACCAATACCACATCCTATTGAAAGCACCACTAAAAACATGTTGTTCAATGAACCTTTACTTACATCTCCATCAACTCCTTTTGGGACCATTGAAATTGCACAACAAAATTTTTGCCATGGATCATACTGATGTAGACAATGTTAAGTCAACCGATGAATGCCATGAAGTACATAATGTTGATGAATCTAACATATTGGTTGGTAAGCTCTTCTCTTCACATGATTAAGCTTGGTACTTTTACAAGGGATTCACACAAGAACATGGGTTTAGTGCACGTCATGGAACAACAAGGCTTGACATGGAAGGGAATGTGAAGACACAAGAATTTTGTTGTTCGAAAGAAGGGTTTCGAGAATCAAAAGTCAATACTGTTGATCGTCAACGTGCTCATACGCCAATCACAAGAACAGGATGCAAGGCTAGAGTCATAGTTACAACAATAAATACAAACGATCAGTGGGTTATAAGTAAGTCTTATCAGAAACATAATCATGCATTGTGCACACCTACTATGACACCATTTATACGTTCTAATAGAGCTGTAAGTAAGGCTGATATCGATGAGGCAACAGCATTGAAAGAGGCAACAGCATTGAAATAGGACATTTGAAATTAGTTTTGATTCTTGTACGGAAACTCTAAATTTCTCATGCAAAAAATTTGAGATCGTTGGACTTCCATGTCGCCATCAACTTCACGTTTTGAAGCACTTGGATTACACATATTTGCCCGGGTCTTTGATTCAAAGTAGGTGGACTAAGGATGCGAAGGCTTCTGCACCCAGTTTTGTTGATTTGAATGTGCCTCAAGAAATAATGCAAATGGCAAGGTTTGCTTCTCTACGTGCAACAGAAAGTATGTTATGCTACGCTGCATCAAAGACAGGCGCGTCTTTCAAAACCGCAAGAGATGAGATGAAAAGACTAACAGAAGAATTTGAGAACTCGTTTGGTTTGAATGATTCAGTCAATCAAAGAAGTGTATTAAACAATGTTCGCGACCCTCAACGGAAACAACGCAAGCGAAAAGAAGTAACAAAGAACAAGGTCGAGAAGAAGATTAGGCGATGTGGGTTCTGCAACGATGAGGGACATAACAAACTAACATGTCCTCAAGTCAAGCTGGGTTTGAATACAAGCACGCAGTCTACTTCAACTGATTTTTTTGAAGATGGAATGGAATGGTTATGAACCTCCAGCACATGATGTTAGAGACATTTGGTTATAATTATGTTTTTCGATGTTTTTGGGATCGACAATTGTTATAAATGTATCGAAACTTTGTTGTGCACTTGGTTTTTAAAATATAGTCTGGACAAAAATGTATCGAAACTTGATGTATTTGTGTCGATACTTCATGTATACATGTTTTCTCATAAACCGGTACATTTAGATCGGTTACATTGTTAATTTACCTATTACATTATAATTATAGTTTTCGATATTTTTAGGATCGACACTTGTTATAAATGTATCGACACTTTTTAGTACACTTGGTTTTGAAATACATTCTGGAGAAAAAGTATTGACACTTGTTATATTTGTGTCGATACTTTTTGTACACTTGTTTTCTCAAAAACTGGTATATTTAGACCGTTTACATGAATAATTTACCTATTACATTATAATTATGTTTTTCGATGTTTTCAGGATCGACACTTGTTTTAAATGTATCGACACTTTTATGTTCATTTGGTTTTGAAATACATTCTGGACCAAAAGTATCGACACTTGTTCTATTTGTGTCGATACTGTTTGTACACCTGTTTTCTCAAAAACCGGTATATTTAGACTGGTTATATTGCTAATTTACCTATTACATTATAATTATGGTTTTCGATATTTTTGGGATCGACACTTGTTATATATGTATCGACACTTTTTAGTGCACTTGGTTTTGAAATACAGTCTGGAGAAAAAGTATCGACACTTATTAGATTTGTGTCGATACTTTTTGTACACCAGTTTTCTCAAAAACCGGTATATTTTGATCTTTTACATGAATAATTTACCTATTACATTATAATTATGTTTTTTGATGTTTTCAGGATCGACACTTGTTTTAAATGTATCGATACTTGTTTTATTTGTGTCGATACATTTTGTACACTTATTTTCTCAAAAACCTGTATATTTAAAAAAAGGTAAATGTTACCTTAGAAATACATTATGGACAAATTCATTATGCACATTATCACTAATGTTGATATTTGAAAAAGGTAAGTTGTTACCTTAGAAATGGAATTTGATGTTTTCTCCCGATGCATCCATTGAGTAAGTTGTTTTTAGGATGGATGGAATTTCGGTTTAGGACTAAAATTTACATTTAAATTCAAACTCTAATTATAAATGAAATGAAAATGAAATGCCATATTAAATTGAACATGGAAATTGCATAATTGATTCATACTGTGTAATCAAACCAAAACATACACACACAATAAATTTATAGATAACAATGTTCAAATAATATACCTACAACGAAATTAATCCGATGGAAAAGGGTTATCGCTAACGAAGTCCGGAACATTAGGCGCCTTCAACAAAATTTCCAAATACTCGCGTATTTTACCACCTTTTGCTGAGGACATAAATAAATAATTTCAATTATCAAACTAATCAGGTACAATTTTACTAACAAGAAACTAATTTTTTTTATAAGGAACAAGAAACTAAATGAGCATAATCAGGAATAAATTTGTGTCATACTTAGAGCATCGTCGTCCGAATGGGAAGCAACGTCGAAAGAATGTGGACATATGTAATTGTTTATCTAATAAAAAACATAAATTGTTAATCAATCAATCTATGAACAACTGTTTAACTATGAAAATATGGCATGAATGTAACTTACCGGATTATGAATCATTTTTCGCGATGAATCATCGACCAACAGTGTATTTAGGGCATTAAAATCAGTAAACTCGTTCCAAACATCATTGAGATCTTTACAGTAGGTAAACTTATCTTCTGTTTTGCACTTACTTTGATCCTGCTTACAAACAATCGAACATAAATATGTAGGAATCTTAGAGAAATTAAAGTTAGCAAAGCGTAATGACAATCATCTTACCCAAACGAATAGAAAGTGGTCAGAGAACAAGCGTAGTTTATCAAGTACACGGTCCATGTTATGCCTGAGATTGTAATCAAGTTTGAATGTTAACATTTAATTGTATATTAACGATTTTGGCTATAGTAATTTTAATTTCTCAATAGTTCTAACCTCATCTTGGATGACCAAATTGTAACAACAAAATTCTGTAAACAAAATTGCATAAATTCATATAATCCATTTCTGAGGATAACATCTGCAACATGAAGAAAATGATATTAAAGTTGTACGCTTATATGTTAAAATAATGAATACAAATTAACAGAATTGAAACCTTCTGGATGTCTTGGGATATAGGCAAGGACACCATTGACATCAAAAATTACTATTTTTCTTGCAAGCGGCGTTACAGA